GCATCTGCCAAGGACAGAAAGGGTGTTTCAAATCTCCCCTCTGCTTCTCTGTGACGGTGGGAACCCCGCTACGCAAATACGAATCGTGATAATCCAATACGTGTTTTAATGCAACGAGCCACTGCACTCGTTATCGCTATAATATAGTAACTGGAAAAATTACACGTATATATTACTACAATATGTGCCTTGAAGTATTCTATTCCTTTCCTGAAACAAGTCAAAGGCCCTTTCATCAAATCACAAGATAGAAACTTAAAATGCAACTTGCTTCTGGGGCACATAAGGCCAATCATCGTTGGAGCCCATTTCTTGCCCAAGCACCTACAGTTTCTGCACACCACAGCGAAGCAAGGGGCCCGTCGCACCTGCCGCACCCCTCCCCCGGACTCACCATGGCGCCCCGGGGTGTGGTGGCCAGGCCGGACCTTCAGCGCACGGCCCGACCCAGAGTGCTTTGATGCCGTCAGCAGGAGTTCAGCAGCTGGGTGTAGCTCCCGCGCGCCTTGGCCTCGCACCCCCTTTCCATACGACGGGTCAGGTGAGCATGTCCTGTTTCAAAAGGGCTTCTGGTCCGTCTTCGCTGGCTGAACGCTTCGAAGCCATTCTTTTCTCCGTGCAGAAATCCCTGTTACCCGTCACCCAAGCGGCTGTGGCTCCGAGTGGGAAGCTGAATAAGAAAAACTGGTGCTCGCGTGCCAGGGCCCTAAAGGAAAAGGGGCCCAACCCACCGTGCTTGAAAGAAGTGGACAAGCCCTCAGGGAATCTCTCATATCTCAACTGACCGCGGGGCTGCCAGAGCAGCGCAAGCGATGTAAACAGACAGGCTGGCCGGGAACACCAGACCTGCTCTGTCCCCAGGGAGCTCCCTCCCCGCCAAACCTGACAGGCAGCCATTTAGAGAACAGTGGGGAGGAGAAATGCAGCCGATGAAATTATGATCCATGAAAGCCTTTTATTCCAGGTCCGAAGGATCCTTCACAGAAACCTGGCTGTCCCGTGGCTGAAGCTGGGCAGACTGGGCGTCTGGGGGTCCATATCATGGGGCACGCAGCGGTCACATCAGTCAAGTAGATGGCCATCCCGCCACAGCATGTGGCAGGGTCTTTCCCACACACCAGCTCTGGAAACGTGATGCGCCGTCTCATCTGTCCAGTGAAGCAGCGTTTCTACAGGTGGATCATCCACAAATGATATCCTGAAATGCACAACAAGGCAACACTAATATCTTCCCCATAGCGGCCATGAGTCACTGGTGTGAGATTCTTAACCAAGATTCTCCTGGTGATCCCTTCAATACTTTATCATTCTCTTCAGCCACGCTGCCACTTCTTTCACACACGCCTCCGCACATTAACCATTCCCAGCAATGAACAAGCAGTTCATCATATTGCAGAACTCACTCTTTTAATTTTTTAATAATCAGGGCCATCTACATGATATAAATGCGTATCTCACCTTGAGCCTTTAGAGTTGCATCTTCGCTTAATGATTAGTGACTCATTGATGCATCTTTTCCATGTATTATTCGCGCCACTTCCGCTAAAGTTGCTGCTGTTTTATTTTTGAGACAGTCTCCCTTGTCTTGGCCCAGGCTAGAAGTGAGACTGCCGGGCGCTAAGCGCTAGCTCACTAGCACATCGCCCGGCGGGAAACCTCCCAGACCTCCCTGGGCTCTAGCCAATCCTGCTGCCTCAGCCTCCGCACAGTGCTGGACTGAGCAGGCATACGGCCCACCATGCCACGGCGGCCTAATCCCACAGATTTAGTGGCGCCAATAACTTCTTTCTATTTATAATAGAGACAGGGTCTTGCTCTTGCTCATGCTGGATTTGAACTCCTGACCTCAAGCAATCCACCCGCCTCGGCCTCCCAGAGTGCTAGGATTACAGGCCTGAGCCACCGCGCCTGGCCCCCAAAGTTGTTTTGGTTGTGTGTTGTAGGCCTATCTGTGCACAATGGACTGGAAGTGACACAAGCAAACCGGTGTCTTGGCACAGATCTCGGGAGAGGCATCGGGGCCGAGCACTCTGTGGGTGTCAGGAAAGAGCAGGAGGATGATTTGGGGATCAGCTGGCAATGCCATTTAATAGAAGTTGGCTCTGCCCCATATAGGGCTCCACAGGAAGGCCACCTACTTCTGCCACCGCACAGCTGCCAAATCCCTTTGCAGCTACATGGAAATGTTAGAAGTTCAAGTTACCTGCATGAACCAAAATCGCAGCTGCTGACCTTTCAGCAAATGCCAAAGTTCTTCCAAGGCACACAACAGGGTGGGGACTTGCAAAGTAGCTGTGGCAACAGCCCAGAGGAAGAGAGCAACATCCGCCCTGTGGTTATTTCAGCACCGCTGATACACTGATGACCCCAAAGCTATTCACAGCCGTGCTCAGCTTGGAGCAGCACCCCCACGGGCCTGAGTCTAAACAACAGGGACGAGTAGACCCTGTGAAGACTTACAGGGTCTTAGAGCAGCATGCAGGGCAGGGCCTCCACCCCAGACCGGGATCTGGAATGTGACGCTACGGCACCAGCTGAGGGACCATTCTTGTTAGCAAAACTCTGCTAAGATGCTTTGCGTCCGCCCTGTCGTGGAATCCGCGCACATGCTTTCTCTCGGAGCCTCGGCGTTCCTGCTCACAGCAGGCCTGACGTCACCCGGGCATCTGCTGAGCCCGATTCCCCTCTCAGAGCAAACGCCCCCTGCCCGTAAGAGAAAACCTCAAGGTCGTGTTTGTCCTATGTGACCCTGGTCTCTGGTTGCAGCTGATTGACCGTGGATGGACACTTGGCACAAGTGGAGCCAATCACATTCCGTCTCCTGGGCACTGGGCCTCAGACTCAGAGACATCCATGAGCCGGATGCTGCTGCAGGAACCAGCGACACGCGTCCTCGGGCCGGGCTCGCAGGGGACCTGGATTTCATGAGATCCCTTGAAGCTTTCCAACAAACTCCCTTTCAGATTTACCAGGATGAGCGGGTTTCTAGCCCTACAGTGACCACGGCCTTGACTACAACAGCAGGTAGTATGATAACATTTCACAAATGAAGAAAGAGAGACTCAGAGAGGTTTAAAAGAACATTGCCAAGCTCCGTGTAGCCTGGTCAGCATCACCTGGGTCATGCTGCAGTAACAAACAAGCCTGAAATCCCAGTCGCTTATACAGGGAGGTCTGTCTCTCCTTCCTGTCCCAGCTGGTGTCAAGAGGGCGTGGCTCAGGCTCCAGGCTCCGGCCACACCGTGGCCCTGTCGCTGAAATGCACGGCCTCTGAGCTGGCGTGGAGGGAAGAGAGGACGCAGGACTGTCAGTGGAGTCAGCCTGGGAGTTGTAGATGCCATTTCCACCCTCCCTTCCCCACTGGCCCAAACCCACGGCCGCCACCCGAATGCACGCCAGGCTGGGAAAGGTCGTCTCCTGTGGGTCCGGGAGGGATACCGGCGGGTGAGCGTCGCCTGGTCTGCACCAGACGCGCACAGCTGTGCAGTGGCAGGGCGGGACCTGGCCTCAGGCCGCCCTGACCCCAGCGCCAGGCCCCTGGTGCCAGCTGCCCTCTCGACAGCTCGCCAGGCTCCCAGTGGGCAGAAGGGCCCGTTCTCCCCTCAGCGCCATCTCCCCCCCACCCGCTGTACCACAGTGGCCGCACCTCGGTTCTCCAGGGAAACCAGAAGCAGCGTGGCAATGAAGGGTGGGACCACCGCGAGTTCATTCCTGCAAATTCGACCAACAGCCTTGTGTACCAGCGCCTGTTTGAGGAGAGCACCACGTGAACTCCCTGGTTTCCTTGGCTTGTGGCCACATCGCTCCAATCTCTGCCTCCATCCTCATATCCCTTCTGCTCTGAGTGACATGTGAGGACATGTCATTGGATTTAGGACCCACCCTAATCTAGGTATTCTAGGATGATGCTCCTTAATCTAATTGCAACTGAAAAGACTCTTTTTCCAAATCAGGTCACATTCACAGGTCCCAGGGATTTGCATGTGGACATGTCCTTTCAGGGGACACCATTCAACCCACTACAGGCATCTTGAAATTACTCCCAATTCCGAAGGTGAGGACCAGGATGCAGTCACTCTGGGGACTTTGGACCCCGTGGTGCTTGAGTGCAGCTTCTGCCTCCATCCTGGTCCTGGGGCTCTTCCATCCCATGCCCGGGGGCAGACGCTGTGCCCAGCCTATCCATGGTGGCAAAGCCAGGCTGACAGGCGCTTCAACTCACACCGCAGAGATGCTTTCCCAGCTTTTGGCAAAGGCGGCCTCGCAGCAAGTGCACGCTGTGCAGACACTGCCCTGCGGACTTGCTTCAGAGTGCTTAGAACTGGGTTTTCAGGCCGGGTGTGTTCTTAACGTGGAAGGTGAGGGGTTTGGCTGCGGAGCCTCTAAGAGCAAACAGCAGACCTGCGGGTGGGGAGGGGCGGCGTGGGGCCTCTTCACAAACCCCGCCCACACTGACACTGGGGCTCGCAAGACCCCCGCAGCCACGCACCGGCTGGGGTAGAGGAGGCTGCTCCCCTCTGCAAGGGGAACGGAGCTTTAGTGTTTCGATCCGAGGCAGGAAAGGTCTCCGTCTTAGGAGCAGTGTGACACTGTAGAGCCCGAGCTCCTGCCTTGTCTGTCTGTATGAGACACTCGGGGATGCATCCCCTCACCTTCACCTGTCCGAGGAAGGCAGCTAAGAAGCCCAAGGTCAAGTCCAGCTGAGGGTCTAAGGAGCATCGGAGGAGGATCGCTGTTCGTGCCGCTGTTCTGTGGGTCTGTGTGTGTCTCACTCGGAGAAGGAGAAAGGCTCACACGTCACAGCAGGTTGCAAACAAGCGTCAGTTGAAACCTCTGCGTCGAATGACCCAACGGACCCAAAGACACCACACAGAGCACACAGACAGCGCAGAGCAAAGGCGTCTTCTGTCATTTTGCCTGGTTTCCTGACGGCACCGGGTGGGCAGGATTGTTTCTCTGTAGTGATCCCAGTGACGGGAAAAGGCTCCCAGACCCAAAGCCGTGTCTCCCTCGGTGCTTTCAGACCCAAAGGCTTGAGTTACAAGCAGGTTAAAAATCCAAAGGTGCGTTGGGGTCAGGGGACTTTCCTGACAGACTGCCACAGCTGGAGGGCGGGAGACACTGGCTTTGGGCCTGGTCCGTGGACAGAAGCGCATCCAATGCTCAAGGTCAAACTGCTTCCTGTTGGAAAAACATGGAATGAATGGGAGTGTTTGGAGAGGAAGAAGCAGGATTTACACAGACACCTGTTTTCAGTTGCCAAGTGGAAATAAGCAGATAGATACATTTTAAAATCGAGAGGTAAAAAAAAAAAGGGCCCATTTGTTATAAAAGTTGCCATCACCTTGGACTCTGGTCAGGGTTAGCCGAGGGAGAAAGTGTTCATAGACAGAGCTTCATGAGAAACATACTTGCTTGAAACAAATTGTATTTCCTTAAATCCTGTTCTTATGATAAATCCTTTTCCTGATGGTAACTAGATCCTAAGAATTATTAGGCTTTGTGAGTTCACCATAGTGCTGTGCTTGCATAGAAAAAACACCAGTGGGTGCCAATGTGAACCTTCATTTGTGACTCGGACAGTCACACCCACGTACGGGAGGCCACGAGTCATGCCGAGGAGCCGTCACTGAGCTATTCGCTGTCCCATTGCTGGGAGGGCAGGTCAGCTTTGCACAGCCAGGCCTGGGTGGGACCACACGTAGCAGAAGCAATGCATTGGCTCAGACTTCAGTGGCCACGTCGACGTCGCCCAGGTTCATACCCAGCTCTGCCGCTCATTGGCTGGAGACCTTGAGCACAGTCCTGAACCTCCCAGTCCTTACTCCACTCCACCATCTACAAAATAGATCATTGATGGCATCTAATCCATACGGTTGTTGGGAAGATGAAATGAGTCACCTAATGTTATATATGTTAGCTCGGGGGGGGGGGTTGTTTTTGAGACACAGTCTTGCTCTGTTGCCCGAGTGAGAGAGCCGTGGCGTCAGCCTGGCTCACAGCAACCTCAAACTCCTGGCCTCAAGTGATCCTCCCACCTCGGCCTCCCAGAGTGCTAGGATTACAGGTGTGAGCCACGACACCACTTGGCCACACTATTAGTGTCCATTATCACCATCCCATCCATTCGATTTGCAGCAAAAGCAATGAAGGCCTTTTTTTTTAAAAGGGAGAAAAATATTTTTACTATTTCTCGCCTCCATCCATCAGAGTACAGTCTCGCCACGCACATCGCGGGAACCAGCAATCGGAGCAGACACCACCTGCCGTAGGGGTAAGGCCACCAGCGCCCCGCTACGGCATTGGATGAAATGAAAAAAGTAGCCACACTTTATCTTCCTGACCAGTCTTAAGGGAACGCAGCGATCGCCGGCCGAGAGCCAGGACGTGCCCTGCGGGAGATAAGAAGGTCCAGACGGAAAGGCGCGCGATCCCCTGCCTGCGGGTGGGCCAAGGGCCCGCCCTCACT